GAATGGAAATATTGATATTTTATTTGTAAACATCATAATTATTTCACTAATTTCAGTTAATGTCATAAAACTAGCGAGCTGAGCCAGTAGTAGCGCTGAGTGTCGTGTAAATATGACTGAAGACGAGAAAAGACGAACCGTGACTTCGATCATTCAGTTCAAGTGATTCACTAACAACAACAGATCAACAGAGCCATTCATTTTCTACGGTGATGCATTGCTGCCACACACATTATTTTTTCCACTCAATTATGTCGTAATAATGAGATGTTATGTCGTTCTAACGACATATTTTCTCGTAATAACGACATCTTTTCTCGTTAAAACGACATATTTTCTGGTAATAACGAGATGTTTTCTCGTTAAAACGACATATTTTTTCTCATAATAACGACATTATGTCATAAAAACGACATGTTTTCCTGTTATTATAGATATATGGTAGGCTATATGTGAGCGAGCTAAGCGACTCCGCGCTGCTGTCGCCACAGTCTGACAAACGAGGATCTGCACGCTGCTGAAATGATTGAAATATACTGTTTTAAATGTATTTTAATGTAATGGTTTTAATTGTAGCGGCATGTTTATTAGGATTAATCTGCAATCTGTCTACAATATAGTGCTATCCAATAACTGCACTCAGACCCATGACTCCTTTAGGCTATGATCAGATCAAAACTGGGCTTAATATTTCCTTATTTGAATGACTGAAGTTTGATTTAACAACAAATCGAAATATGAACAAACAGAAATAAAGAGATTTTCTAATAGGCTAATAATCATAATAATAATAATAGCATAATAATAATAATAATTTATTATTAACCAAGAAGAGCAGTGTTGTGCTTCATATGAGATGTATATTTGCAAGAAATATAGCCTATACAACAGCCAGACAGTTTGAAGAAACGTTATTGTGATAATTTGCAGAGCGGTGCATGAGATGAACTCTTATTCTGTGTGATGGGATAGGCAGTAAAGACAGGCTGAGAGAAAAAGTGGCGTTTTTACGCACAAATAGCAAGCTAATTTTTTAACCCATGAACAAAAAATACTAAAAATCTAGCTTAATTTTCGTTTGCCCGTTTGCCAAACAGAACGAAATAATAATAATAATTATTATTATTATTTTCTTTTTGTTCGTATTTCGATTTGTTGTTAAATCAAACTTCAGTCATTCAAATAAGGAAATATTAAGCCCAGTTTTGATCTGATCATAGCCTAAAGGAGTCATGGGTCTGAGTGCAGTTATTGGATAGCACTATATTGTAGACAGATTGCAGATTAATCCTAATAAACATGCCGCTACAATTAAAACCATTACATTAAAATACATTTAAAACAGTATATTTCAATCATTTCAGCAGCGTGCAGATCCTCGTTTGTCAGACTGTGGCGACAGCAGCGCGGAGTCGCTTAGCTCGCTCACATATAGCCTACCATATATCTATAATAACAGGAAAACATGTCGTTTTTATGACATAATGTCGTTATTATGAGAAAAAATGTTGTTTTAACGAGAAAACATCTCGTTATTACGAGAAAAGATGACGTTTTAACGAGAAAACATCTCGTTATTACGACATAATTGAGTGGAAAAAAAATATATGTGTGTGGCAGCAATGCGTCACCGTAATTTTCGGATTTCGACATCGCTTGTAATGATTTTTAAAAACATGTATGGGTTAATGATTCAGTTTCGAAGCGCTAGCGCGAATCATTTGATTTAAATCCGGACTTCGGAACGAGTTCAGGACTTTTTTTTTTATTCAGATAGGAACTTCGAAGCTCTTATGAATCCGGAGCGGGTTCGTGAATCTTGTGATTCAGATCGAGACTTGGAGCGCGTATTGCGAATATTTTTTCCTGCCTTCTTTTTTTTATTAAACAGTAGAAAATATCAAACCATTAAGGCAGTACAGTTATAAAAACAACAACAAAAAAAAAAGTGTAGTTTCCATGTACTTGTCTGGATCGACTTTGAATAAAGAAAAGAGAGGTTCAGAGCCAGATTTTTGTTTATGCATGTGAAATTTAGCTAGCAGGAAACAAATTAATTAAGTTATATTTTCCTATATTAAAATAAAATTATGTACAGCGTGATTAAGACACCCCCTGCTGTAATATTGTTAGTTTTACATAATCAAATCTGTGTAATTATTGTCTGATAAATATGCTAACATAAAAACTTCTCTCTTTATGAATTATGAGTATGTTGGCGACCTACCATAGCTCTAAATAAAGCACACGGATGGGGTGTAGTGTCTCTCTCGCTCTGCCGTATGTGTGTTTGAATCCAGTCTGAAGGGCGAATCAGATTCATTCATCCGCAGCTTACGCAATGTTGAGTTCCTGTCAAAACTGCAAATGAAGCTTCATATCTGTATTACAGTATTTTATGATGTGACTGTACATCGAATGACAGATGACACAAAATAAACATGTCAAATCAGTCAGTTTATTTTCCATCATCCAAACACTCTTGATCTGTAAATCATAATCACACAAACTCCAGCAGTGAAACAAACAGTCTAACAACCTACTGTGCCAAAAATAACCAGCTGCACTTACAGCAGTGTTTAATCACAACATATAATCGTTGCAGTTAATAGTGTTCACCGTCTGTTTGATTACATGACATTATATATATATATATATATATATATATTTATTTATATTTATATATATATAACATTTCTGTCCCCCTCACTTCTGAAATGATGGCTACGCCCCTGCTCCAGTGTACTGGAGTAAATATTATAGCTTATATGGAGGGCTCTCTTATTCTGTTGTACAGTGGGAAGTTTAATCTATTTCATCATGGAACTAAAGCTTTAGACGGATACATTTCTAGTTATTCATCACCCATGAATGTCAGGATTTTTCTGTATGTAACCCGTCTCTTAGCACACTGTGTGAAAGTTACCATGTTTACTAGATTTACATGGCCATTACAGGGACATTAGATATACTGTAACTACACCAGTCGAGGTTAGTAAGTGATTGCATCACACTAGTCTGAGGTTATGTGACTAATGCTGCTGACAGAGCTTCAGTACTGAACCAGGATCATGTAAACAAGACCTCGGATGTGACACTTAGCCTTTAGCGAAAGGCTGTTCCAGTGAGGTGGATGTGATTATTCAGATATAACCTGCTGGTTGATAAATCCTCTGGAATATAAAGATCAGTGTGCTGCTGGGAAACGAGCTCTGGTTTCTGTCACTGGCGTTTGGGTCGGCCGTCGGGCTTGTATTTCACCAGAAGACCCAGAGACGCGAAACCAAACAGGAACGTCTGAGCGAACCACAGCAAGCGTGTGGACGTGCTGTCGATGCCTTTATCACTGCAGACACAAACATGCCACACACTGATTAGTTCAGCCAAAAATGAACATGTTAACTCCATTAATAATCCAGTATTCCGTAAGTACAGTAAGTTGACATAACGCACACAGAATTATCAGTCACACATCTGATGGTGTGTACTGCCACCTTGTGGTAGAAAAGATGAAACACCCCGATACTGTAAACCATCATTAAAAACACAGTGTCTTACCTGCAGACCTTCAGCACAAAAAGAGCCTCGAACAGATGGATGACCCACGTCAGAAACCATCTGAAACACAGCAAACATCATCAGCATCGGCGCTGAGCTCAGCGTGTGAATGCCGGCGCTCACTCACCCGTAATACAGCACAGGATAATGATAGTCCACCAAATGCTTGGCCAGAGCGCCCAGAGGACCCAGACTGCTGTAAGGGACGTCCTGAGGCCAGAACACCGTCCACTGGAAACCAATGAAACACAATCACTGCAGCGTATTTGTTGTATTTGTGAGGACCCGAGCTGACCAAACAGTTCATTGTGAAATGTTTGCACTTTGTAGAGTAAAGTACCGGCAGTTCAAGCATTTTCATAATATCTGATTCGTAAAAAAAGACTTTGATTCTCGAACTCATTCTTGTGGAGTACGGCCGCTGTTCACAATCACAGTCTGTGTCTGTCAGAAGACCGAAACATCTCCGATTAATCACGGTTTCAGCTGAGGGTCGCATGATTTCATAAGCCATCAGTGGTTCATCTGGAGGTTTGTGGGGATTTATGTTGTTATTTTGTAGGATAACTATCATTCTGTTATCCGGTTTAGTTTCATTCTCACTGTGGTAATCGTGTTATCATTGTGTGGTCACTACGGTGGTTGATCTCAGGTCAGTCCAGCTGATCCCAGATCAGCGTGAAGCGGTGAAAACCATCACTCTCAGTTCTGAGACTCTATTATACTCAACGAGCCTCGTTCAGCAAACAGCTGCAGACTGATTTCTCTGAAAACCATTCAGAAACATGACTGAATCTGAAGGATTTCCACAGTAACTGATCACATGTAAACCTTAATACATAATCAGATTAAACAAATATTAGACTATAGTACATTTTAAAATGCTCAGAATAAGAATAGTTACTTTTTCATAGATCACATGATTAGCTATTAATTCACACAGTGGCAGTAAATTACTCATCGTTTAATTTGCTCTAATTCTGTTTTTCTACCAATGCTTTATACATTTCTAAAGTCTTCCAGCTTTTCATCAGCAGTTCATTGATGAATCCCTGGCATAATGTAATGTTTAATACACTTCATAATGTTGACAACAAAGAATGGAATATATTTGAGGTCAAAAGTAATCCAAAAGTAGTCAGAATACATTACCTAATATGAGTAATACAATAAATTACTTTACAAACTATAATTTTGGTCATGTAATTTGTAATCAGACTACAATTTGTAAGTAATCGACCCAGCTGTGTGTGTGTGTGTATATATATATATATATATATATATATAATTATTATTCAT